GGATGGCGTTCTCGTCCCAGCGCGGGCCTCTTTCTCGCGCGCCCATCCGCCCGCCACCACCGCGCCGCACCACGCCCCGCCCCGCCGCACGCACACCCACCGCCACTTCCACCCACCAACGCACGCACGCACGCACGCGCACCACCACCGCGCACCGCCACCACCACCGCACTACCCCACCCACCACCACCACGCTACACCGCGTCACACCACATCACACGCGCGCACACACAGACACACACGCACGCACGCACGCACGCACGCACGCACGCACACACACAGTCACAGTCACAGTCACAGACACAGACACACACACAGACACAGACACAGACACAGACACAGACACACACACACACACATACACACACACACACACACGCACACACACACACACACACACACACACACCACCACCGCCACCACCACCACCACCGCCATCACGCACGTACGCACCTGGCCCACCACCAAACCACCAAGACGCCACACCACGACACACCACAGCACACGCGCGCACACACACACACACATACACACCACCACCACAACAACCACAACCACGCACACACGCGCACGCACGCACGCGCACCACCACCCACTACGCACACGCGCGCGGAGCCACAGGTCCGCTACGACACGCGTCCGCGGATCGAGAAAATCAGCGCCATGGTAAGGGATGGGAGGGAGGGGTAGGATGTCAGATGTTGACGCGAGCGCACCTAACTTGACGCCCACCCCTCCGCCCCTGGACTTAGGTAGGGCGTGTCCCCCATGCAGGCGGATGTTGGCGAAAAATAAAGAATACCCCCAAAATGCACACACACACACAGACACACACACACACACACACACAAACACACAAACACACACACACACACAAAAAAAAAAATGTAAAAAACGTCCCCAGACTATTTTTTTACTATCTTTGAATATTCCCTCTGTAGAGGGACAGGCCCGACTTAACCCTGGACGCCCCCCCCCCCCTCCCTGGACGCTCCCGAAGCGCCCAGAGACGTCCAGGGCCCTCTCTCGCTCCCTCGATCCCCTCCCTCCTCGAGAGGCCCTTCCAGGGGACCTCCTCGAGGCCCTCCCTCCTCGAGGCCCTCTCTCCTCGAGGCCCTTCTCGCTCCCTCGACTCCCCTGCCTCCTCGAGGCCCTGACCCAGGAGCGGGTGGCCCCCCCGCTGGTCCTGGTGACCCCTCCCCGGCGCTGCCCCGAGCCCTGCCGGCCTCCGGCGTTCCCGCAGCCGCCGGGGTGCTTGCGGTGCTTGCCGATGCGCCCGCGCCCAGCCGAGATCGCGCCGCGCAGGTGGCGGTTCTTCTTGTAGCGCGTGGTCATCGCGAGGATCTCTGCGCGGGGCGCTCCAGAGGAGGCGCCGGCTTCCGAGGGGTCGGGGAGTTGGCACCGCAGGGGGGGGGGATCGGAGGGGGGGCCAGCTCCGGGGAGGAGACACCGTGCTGGTCCATCAGCGCTCCGCCGTCGCCGATGGATCGGCGAGAGGGCCCCCCAATGGCGAAGCCGCGGGCTCCTCGACGGGACGAGCCTATGAAGACCCTGCCGGCGATGAGTAGGCGTTTAGGGTGTCGATGGGTTCCCCAGCGAGCTTTGCCCCCGAGGCGTCACCTCTTGGCGGCGCGCACTAGCGGGCAGGGGGAAGGGGGAAGGCGTCTTAGAAGGAGGCTGCTTCTTAGAAGGCAGCCAGCCGTACATCTATAGACAAGGAGCAGAGGTGCTTTTTAGATATCTTCCCCCCTCCCCCTTACCCCCCCCTCTGCGCGTGGCAGATCTTCCTCGGCAGAAGCGGACGGAAGGCCGGCGGAAGTAGAGAGCGGTGCTCCGCCGAAGAGGGGGAGCCAGTAAGGTCCCCACCTCCACTCGTCATGAAAAATCACGACGGGGAATTGCTGCCAATGTTCGGCATATGACTGTCAAGAAACAGCTCGGGATGAAGAGCCGGTGCAAGGGAAGGGGTCGGGATTGTCGGGGTGCACTCTGCGACGACGTCGGAGTCCTGGGGAGTGAGGGTTACCGCACAAGGGCCCGACGCGTGTGCGCGGACGAGCTGGTGGGGGGAGCAAGGCACGCGTGAAAATAAGAACATGGGGCCGTAACTTCTAGGAGATACGGCCCTTGGCCACCCTGGACATCTGGCCGCTCCAACTTGTCGATGCGTGAACCCCCGAGGTCTGGCCCACTTCATTATGCGGCTTTTCGTCCTGAATCGTTTCCTGACGGCCGGGAGCCCGGCGAGGGCCCCCGGAGGCCCAAAATAGCCCAAACACTGGCCGCTCCAATCGTTTCGAAGCCTCGGATCTCTGGGATCATCTTCACCGACTCCTTTTCCTCACCGTCGACGCCCCCGACCCGAGAATTGCAACCTTCTTTTTGAGCCAAGGCTTCCGGAGCGAGCCGCGCGTCCGCTGGGGCTGCGCGCGGCGCACTGGGTGGGCTTCTCGGGCTTTCCGAGCGCGGCTCGAGCCGGGGCTGGCTCGGGCCTGAAGGAGGAGGAAGATGATGATTATGATGATGATGAGGAGGAGGAGTAGGAGGAGGAGGAGGAGGAGGGGGAGCAGGAGGGGGAGGAGGAGGGGGAGGAGGAGGAGAAGAGAGAGAGAGAGAAGAGGAGGCGGAGGAGGAGGAGAGGAGGAGAAGGGAGGAGGGACCAGTGTAAACTCAAGACTCGTCCACGATGTTGGAATAAACCCTCCCTCCAAGCTCACTCTTCATAGGCCCTTATAAAGAATCAGTTCCACTGAAGGGAGTGCTCCGTTAGGAGACAATTGTTTGAAGATATTGAGGTGTGCCCAAACACCATTCTCGAGACTCCAACGCCACGAATCAACCTGACTCTTGCGGCGTGACCGTCTTGAATCGTGCCAATACATAATTCCTGAGCTTTCAAAACAACGAATCGACATAACTGTTGCGCCTTGACAACCCTGAACCGTCCAGAACCATTACGTATGGGACGCTACTCATGCAACGCCGTGAACTCTTGCAATTTGTGTAACGAATGAGTGTGGCGTTAGCTCGAGAACCACATTTTGAAAAAGAGCCGCCCTCCATCCGTGAAGCTCTTGCGCCTGTTTAAGACGAGTTTGTGCGACGCTAAGGCGAGAGCCACATTTCGAAAACGGCCCGCCCTCAATCCGTGAAGCTCTTGCACTGTTTGAAGAAGAACGTGCGCTACGCCAAGGCGAGAGCAACGTCTTGAAAACCATCCACCCTCCATCTGTGAAGCTGTTGCCAGTTTTGGAACTTCAAGCTCATTAATGGTAAGGAAGTCTCAGGCGAAACGCTCGGCCCGCCCTTCTGCCTGGCTTCGGAATGCGACAGAGAGAAATTTTCATCAGGACAAGGAACTAAGGGAGGAGGGGAGATGGAGAAAGGGGAGGAGGGAGGAGGGGGAGGAGGAGGAGGAGGAGGAGGAGGAGGAGGAGGAGGAGGAGGAGGACGAGGCAGACAGGAGTCAGGAGGCGCGCACAAGGGGGTGGCCCTGCACACAAGGATGCGGAGAGGCCCCGAGAGAACGAGACGGGCCAGCACCAGCAAGCATCCGAAGGGCCCAGGCCAAGCCCCCGCGGACGTGTGCTTGTTCTGTGCGGCGCTGGTCGCTCCCCCGAGGGGGCGGGGAAGCCACGGCAGACCCGGGCGTGCCATCGTACACGGAGGGCCGCGGTCCTTTGAGCCCCCTGCTTCCACCTCCTGCTCCTCCATTCCTTTTTCTTGAAACAGCTTCTCCCTGTCGCACCCCGAGGCCAACCGGAAGGGCGGGCCGGGCGTTTCGCCTGAGACTTCCTCGCCGAACGGTTTCACGGAAGGCGGGTCACTTTCAAGATGTGGCTCTTGCCTTAGCGCCGCTAACATCCGTCTTAAAACATTGCACGAGCCTCACGAATTTAGGGCAAGTGGCTTTCAATATGTGGCTCTCGTCTTAGAGCCACACGCATCCGTTTGAACAGTGTGCAAAAAGTTTCATAAATGGAGGGCGGGTCGTTTTCAAAACGCGCCACTCATCTCAGCGCCGCGAGCATCCGCCTTAAAAGTTACAAGAGCTTCACGGATGGAGGGCAGCTCATTTTCATCAAAATGTGGCTCTCGGTTTAGCGCCGCGCGCAGTCGTTTCAATATTGCACATCCGTTTCACAGGTTCTCATGGTGAACGTCCCAGAGATGGTGTTTTGGCACGATATCGGATGGCGAGGGCGCAACAGTTACTTTGATTCGTGGTGTTGAAATCCCAGGAATGGCGTTCTGATGCGACTCAGGATCGTCAAGACCCAGTAATAATAGTAACTTGCGGCGTTGAAGCTCTGGGAACGGCGTTCTGGCACAATTTTGGGTTGTCATACGGTTGTTTTCCAAACGGGCGCTTCCTTTACGTAGAGAAAATAAACCCTTGTATGGGGTCTTTGCAGAGGGAGCTTGAAGGGAGGGCTTGATGCAATATCGTTGATGAGTCTTGATTGCACATCCTCCTCCTCCTCCTCCTCCACCTCCTCCTCCTCCCTCCTCTCCCCCCTCAGACTCCTCCTTCTCTTCCGCCTCCTCCCCCTGCCGCTGCCGCTGCTGGCATCAGAGTCGATCCTCCCCCCTCCTCCTCCTCCTCCTCCTCCGTCTCCTCCTCCTCCGTCTCCTCCTCCTCCTCCTGCTCCTCCTCCTCCTCCTCCTCTTCTCCTCCTCCTCCTCTCTCTCTCATCCTTCTCCCTCCACCTCGCCTTCCTCTTTCTCTAGTACCGGTCAACATCGAATCTGGAAGTCCGACCGGATCGGAACGTGCGTCCAGTCGGGCCGCGTCGGCACGGAGCTGAAATCGGATCGGATCGGATCGGCCGCGCCTGGACACACACCAGCGCCACGCAACGATCGGGCCGCATCGGATCGTCGTCGGAGCATCGGAATCGAATCGGATCGGGCTGGGCGGGGTCTGCATCGCATGGAATCGGTCGAATCGAAATGGACCCTCCTCCTCTGTCGCCCTCCTCCTCCCCGAAGAAGGGGACCCAGCAATCCAGCGTGCCCCTGTACATGACGGAACCGTCCGCGGCCTTCGCCTGATTCATGATCCGCGACTTCGCCACGTCGGCCGGCGTGCTGCACAGGGACGCGAAGAAACCGCTGCAGACCGCCGAGCAGATGTGGCAAGGCAAGGTGTCGCCCAGGATGCCCACAAAGTAGCCCTCGGTGCCGGCATCCCCGCTGCTGTGTCTCTTTGTTGTTTCTCTCTCTCTCTCTCTCTCTCTCGCTCACTCGGTCCTGATCGTTCTCGATCGCTCTCGACCCCTCTCTCTCTCTATAGATGTGTATGTGCTTGTGTATCTCTCTCTCTCTCTCTCTCTCTCTCTCTCTATATATATATATATATATATATATATATATACATTTATATATATACATATATATATATATGTATATATTCCTCTTCCTATATTTTTACAAGCCCGGGGGGGGGAAACCCTCACCCCCCACAAAAAACTGGACCCCGGGGATCTGGGGTTCTCGGGCTCCCTTGGACGTCCTTGGAAAAGGTCACCCGGCTTTCCGGGTCTCCACAAACGCCTTGCCAGCAGACCCAGAGCGATCCGAGGGGTCATCAGAAAGGCTCAAGGAAGGCCCCAGACAGCACAAGAGCGCTCCAAGAGGGAATTCAATTGCGTCAGGACCAACATAAAGACCCCCAAGGCACCCCAAAAAGCTTTCCAAGGGGCCTTCAAAGCACACAAATCGTCCCATTCCCTTCGTAAAACATACAATTTTAGCATATTCGCCTTTCGGATTTCATCAGCTTTCAAGACGGTTTCAAAGCCCCCGAGATCGCCTCCAGACGCCCCAAAAGGCCCCCAAGAAAGCTTCAAGACGGCCGAGCCGGGCCCCATGATCGCCCACGAGAGCCCCAAGACAGCCCATAATGGAACCAAGAGGCCTCCCAAGGGCTCCCAGCACAGACCCAAAAGGGCCATGGGAGGTCCCTGGAAGTGCCCAAGATGGGTCCAAAGGGGGCTCCAGCGGGCCCAAGCTCCCCAAGACGGCCCAAGAAGGCCCCAGGACGGCCCATGAAGGCGCCAAAACGGCCCACGAGGGCCCCGAAAACACCCCCACGATGTTTCCGAATGCCAACATAAAGACCCCCATGCAAAGCACCCCAAAAAGCTTTCCAAGGGGCCTTCAAAGCACAACAATCGTCCCATTCCCTTCGTAAAACTTACAATTTTAGCATATTCGCCTTTCGGATTTCATCAGCTTTCAAGACGGTTTCAAAGCCCCCGAGATCGCCTCAAGACGCCCCAAAAGGCCCCCAAGAAAGCTTCAAGACGGCCGAGCCGGGCCCCACGATCGCCCACGAGAGCCCCAAGACAGCCCATAATGGAACCAAGAGGCCCCCCAAGGGCTCCCAGCACAGACCCAAAAGGGCCATGGGAGGTCCCCGGAAGTGCCCAAGATGGGTCCAAAGGGGGCTCCAGCGGGCCCAAGCTCCCCAAGACGGCCCAAGAAGGCCCCAGGACGGCCCATGAAGGCGCCAAAACGGCCCACGAGGGCCCCGAAAACACCTCCACGATGTTCGACCCCCAAGGCACCCCAAAAAGCTTTCCAAGGGGCCTTCAAAGCACAACAATCGTCCCATTCCCTTCGTAAAACATACAATTTTAGCATATTCGCCTTTCGGATTTCATCAGCTTTCAAGACGGTTTCAAAGCCCCCGAGATCGCCTCAAGACGCCCCAAAAGGCCCCCAAGAAAGCTTCAAGACGGCCGAGCCGGGCCCCACGATCGCCCACGAGAGCCCCAAGACAGCCCATAATGGAACCAAGAGGCCCCCCAAGGGCTCCCAGCACAGACCCAAAAGGGCCATGGGAGGTCCCCGGAAGTGCCCAAGATGGGTCCAAAGGGGGCTCCAGCGGGCCCAAGCTCCCCAAGACGGCCCAAGAAGGCCCCAGGACGGCCCATGAAGGCGACAAAACGGCCCACGAGGGCCCCGAAAACACCCCCACGATGTTTCCGAATGCCAACATAAAGACCCCCAAGGCACCCCAAAAAGCTTTCCAAGGGGCCTTCAAAGCACACAAATCGTCCCATTCCCTTCGTAAAACATACAATTTTAGCATATTCGCCTTTCGGATTTCATCAGCTTTCAAGACGGTTTCAAAGCCCCCGAGATCGCCTCAAGACGCTCCAAAAAGCCCCCAAGAAAGCTTGAAGACGGCCGAGCCGGGCCCCACGATCACCCACGAGAGCCCCAAAACAGCCCATAATGGAACCAAGAGGCCCCCCAAGGGCTCCCAGCACAGACCCAAAAGGGCCATGGGAGGTCCCCGGAAGTGCCCAAGATGGGTCCAAAGGGGGCTCCAGCGGGCCCAAGCTCCCCAAGACGGCCCAAGAAGGCCCCAGGACGGCCCATGAAGGCGACAAAACGGCCCACGAGGGCCCCGAAAACACCCCCACGATGTTTCCGAATGCCAACATTCATGGATTTTCCTCCCATGACATTTCAGATTGTGACCCAGTCGTTGAGGGTCTCGTGGCATGCAACGAAGATGCCCGAGGATGCCCCGTACGAGTTGCATATGCATGCTCATACCCTTACACACATCAATTTATATGCACATATGTACGCTGTATACACACATACAACAATGTAAGTCGATTGTATACGCCTAGAGATTTATACGGAACGTGCATGCACGTGCGCGTGTATACCTGCATGCGCGCATGTACGCACGCACGCATTCCGCTTGCGTGCAGAACTCAAAGGACGGACCAAGGTGCATGGCGCGTAGCGCCAATGCAGTCTTGTATATATATATATATATATATCCCTCTCTCTCTCGCCCCATCCCCCTGGCTCTCCCTCTGGCTCGTGGGCAACCTTGGACTGGCAGCGATGAACGGTTGCCGACACAAGACTGCAACAGTCAATGGGGAGAGAAAGGCAGAAAGCAGAACATGCAGGGCAGACCCAACATATATACCAGCTTCCTGCAGAGCTTGCAGCCACGAGGGTGCACCACACTCTGGCCACCCCATCGACACGCTCTCCCATCGCCCAGCTGCAGAGCACGAAGCACCGCCACCAGCTCCAACAGCAGACGGGGCGCCGGGTGGGCGAACCCGCCCCTTCCCCGCATGACATCCGAGGCCATCGCTTGCAGCCGCGCGCGGCGGCGGCACGCTGGGCCACGAGCTGCCGACCACGCACGGGGCCAGGCCACCCGCCTCCGCGCCCCGCGCCCTGCGCTGTGCCGCCTCGCGCCGCCGCCCCCTGGAGCAGGGCGGCTCCCCGGCCCAGTCCACCTCCTCCTCCTCCTCCTCCTCCTCCTCCTCCTCCTCTCCCCTCCTCCTCCTCCTCCTCCTCCTCCCTCCTCCTCCTCCTCCTCCTCCTCCTCCCCTCCTCCTCCCTCCTCCCCCTCCCCCCTCCCCCCTCCTCCCTCCCCCCTCCCCCCTCCTTCCCTCCCCCCTCCTCCCTCCTTCCCCGCGGGTGACCAACCAGCCCAGGCTGTGGAGCAAGAGGCGGACGTCTGGATAAACCCGGGCCAACTCTCGGTCGACCTCTCGGGCAGGCGCTGGGCCAGGCCTAGCCCGCGCTGCCCCGTGCGTCTGCAGGTGGGCCGTGGAAACTGGGCCAGGCTGACCGAGGCCGCCGAAGGAACGCTGGGCGCCAAGGTGAAGACGAGAGGGTTCTTCAGGATCGGCGCCAATGCAGCAGAGATGAATCGATAGGGGGGGATCGGTTCAGGGGTGGGCGTGGGCACGTTGACCTGGAATCAGCGATGCATCGCCGATAGACCAACGATAGGTCCCCGATAGCGAATCCGCATGCTCCTGGGCGGGGTGAGTGTGAGCCATCGGGCCCCTCTCGGCGATCGCTGGGCGATGGAGGGTCGATGCGTCCATCCCTGAGCCTCCACCCCCCTGCGCTGCCCCGTGGGTTTCGCCCCGTGACGCGGGTCTCTGGCGGCAGTTCGCGACGACTCGGGCCCTCGACGAGGCGCAGCTGCTGGAGACCACCCTGGGCTCGCAAAGTCTAGAGTAACCAGAATAGAAGCGATCGCCAGGAGGAGGAGGAGGAGGAGGAGGAGGAGGAGGAGGAGGAGGCCCCCCTAGCGCTGCCCCTGAGTAGCAAGTCAGCCCGGCGGTGTTCATCCAGCCAATGTCAGCCGGAGGCGCTGTCCGACAGCGGGCCCGGCGGCACAGAGCCCGGCCACGTTTGCGAAGGTCGAATCGCGGCAGCCGCCGCCGCGGAGCGCGGCCAGAGATCTCCCTCTTTCCCGAGGAGCGGGCCCGGCGGGGGCGCCGTCAGTGGCATTGTCGCAGATGCACACATCCGCCGCCTCGCCGCGACGCACGAGTTTCAGTGCCCTCGTGCCTCGCGGCGAGGCGGCGGATCGTGCCTCGCCTCGCCCTCAGGACGAGAGGGACGATCCTCGCCGTTCCTTTGCGATCACCCGTCCTTCGTCCTCAAGAATCAATTTTAAGGCCAGCAGGAGGATGAGGGCGTGGCCCCGCCAGGTTTCCCCTTTCAGGCCTCAGTTCTGGCGTCGTTCGGCCTGCTGGAGATTGGTCTCAGAAAGGTGAGGGCCCCCGGTGAGCGCACTGCATCTGCGGGTTCGACTGACAAGACGGAGCTCTCGGATGGCGAGCTCTTTTGATTCTGAGCCCGACTTCCCAGGCCAGCCACCACCTCATCTTCTGATTGAGTTTCCCGTTCCTGAGATAGGAGAAGCGGGGAAATATCGAGGTTGATCCGTAGAGTTATCTTCATCCGAAACGAGGGCCGCATTCCGCATCCTCCGTTTGCGAACTCGAGCCGGGGGCGGCTGGCAACAGGAGCTTTGGCGTCCCCACTCCCCGACGCAGTGGGACTTTCGGCCAGACAAAAGATTTCGGGCCCAACTCGAGGATATAAGATGGTGGGCGTCCTTCTACGATCGGGGCATGTCCTGACAGCCCCTGGAGGTCCATCCTCGTGCTGTCATTTTTTACAACGACCAGTGTTCTGGTGGAGTTCGGTGATTGGGGGGAGAAATCGCGTAGACTGGATGAGCTAGACAAGGAGTCGCTTCTAGTATAAGCAACGTGGGGGAAACACACCCTCCTCGCTCTGGTTTCCTCCTCCATGCCAGTGGATCCTTCCTCTCCTCTGCATGTTGCCAGGCGGGCGCAACTGCATTCGTTCGGTGCGAGCGAGGGGCGTCGCCCAACAGACGGCTGGAGGAAATGGTAAGCCGCCAAAGGTGCCCAAACAACGCCCTGGACGACGTTCCACAGAGAGCGGAATTTCGCTAGACGAACTCTGGCCACTTGTCAAGGATGGGAGCTGGGGCCCCGGGTGTCGGAATCGACGGGCCACGCGGACGCCGAACTCTGCGTTTGCGAAACATCAGGAACAACACTCAGACTGGGGGCTGCTCACCAGGGCAGTTGCCGGCTCGTCCTGCGCTCGGCATCTCTTGCCCTCTCCCCCCCCACCCTCAAAGCGGAAGACAGAAGTCATACACATCTGCCCTAAGGCTGCCCCTCCATCCTTTTCTAATAGATTTCTCCATACCCTTACGGGGATCCCATTGTTACCACCATCGCCACCATCTGCACCATGGCGATCGTTGTCAGCTCCGATACGATCGTCCTGACCGTTTTGGCAGACCCCGACCGCTCGATGCTCCCAACTCTGCTTCACTTCTCGAAGACTAGTTCAACACTGCTTCGAGGCATGGCGAGCTCTGGGAACCCTGAACCCAAAAAGGTGCACCTCTTGGGTGCGCATCTTTTACTTCCGCCGCCTTCCGCTGGCCTTCCGCCGGCAGAGCCGGCCCTGTTTTCCTTCCGCCGACACTTCGCCGCCTTCCGCCGAGGAAGAGATTGCAACTCGTTCGATCCTCGAAGGCGAGACCTTTTCTGGACCGCCTCGCATGTCCAAACTACCAACGCTGAAGCTTCCGAGGCCGTTGAGGGCGGGCCTTGGCAGTATCATACGTCGTCAGCTCGCCCAGATTTACGAGCGCTGCCCGCTGGATCGCAGGAGCGCAGCCTGTGTACATGCCGCGCAGACCCTCCGCCCTGTAGATGGTCTTGAGCGCGTGGACCAGCCCGGAATATCTGGGGCGAAGGAAGATTCGGCGACGAGCCCCGGGGGGGGTGCGGAGGGAGCGGGTCTTCCTAGAAGGCCGGGCAGGCCTCGGGCCTCGTGAAAAGCTGTCTAAGCCTTTCCCGAATGAAGAAGCGCCTTGTCAAAGGCTGGCGCCTTCTGAGAAGGCTTGCCCCCTCTCACTTCCTCCCGGGGCGCGCCGCCGAAAGAAGGCAGGTGGGAGGAAACAGTGGCGCGCGACAGCACATGGCCGACCACGCACAACCCTGGACCCAAACATGGTGGCGCCTCTGTAGAGGCCGCCCAGGTCGGGCCGGAGCGGATGGGACCAGAGGATCGCGCCGCATCGCCGATGCATCGGCGTTGCGGCGCGATCCTCTGGCCCCATCTGGGAGGCGCAGATCGCCTCTCTGCCGAGCTTCTTCCGGCGGACCCGCCGCCGTTCTACGCACCTTCGCCGGCCTCCGCGGCAGGCGAGGGTGCGCAGCATCGCGAGGCCCTGGCTGGCACGCCCTGTGCTGCGCGCGGGCGCAAGCCCCGGGACGTCGGCGATGCCCGCAGAGGGAGCGGGGGTGGCTGCGGGCCCCTCCGGGGCTCCAGATCCAGATCGTGCACGCATTGCCGAGCATCGCCGCGAACGCGCTGGACAATCACGGTGACGAGCGAGCCGTCGATGTCCTCAAGCAGAGGCCTCCTCAAATGGGGTCCAAGTAGACGAGGTCGGAGGATCGCGCCGCATCGCCGATGCATCGGCGAGGTCAGCGCGGAGCAAAACTAGAGTCTCGACTACCCACCAGACCACCACAACCTAACCCGAAGACCCGAACCTCGGGTGGGGGGGGGGGGGCACGGGTTCCACACGTGTTTGTTCAGTGTTCCCCGACCCCCTCCCCACTGGAAATGGAAGACAAATCGGGGCCCTCGGGTTGGGTTGGGGTCAGGTCGGGACTGTCCCCCTACAGGGGATTTTGCGCGAACAAAAATAATAAAAAACAAATCCAAAAATACTCACAATTTTCTCTCTCACACACACACACGCACACGCACACGCACACGCACACGCACACGCACACGCACACGCACACGCACACGCACACGCACACGCACACGCACACGCACACGCACACGCACACGCACACGCACACGCACACGCACACACACACACACACACACACACACACACACACACACACACACACACACACACACACACACACACACACACACACACACACACACACACACACACACACACACACACACACACACACACACACACACACACACACACACACACACACACACACGCGCGCCCGCCCGCCCGCCCGCCCGCCCGCCCGCCCGCCCGCCCGCCCGCCCGCCCACACACACACACACACACACACACACAACAAAAAAAAACACGTTGACGCTTGGGAATGGGGAAGTGGACAGCGTGTCGCTCCAAAACGCGGTGGGCCAGAGCCGGCGGAACGACACGCTGTCCAAAACTCTCCGACCGCATTCGGACCCCACTCGGGAGGGCTGGATCTCCAGACTCTAGATCCTCGCTTGGGCCGGAACTCTCGACCACGATCTCGTCGCACGATTTTTTTGTTTGTCCGCGCGCTCCCGTGCAGGTGCGAAGTCGGGATGGGCAGGGCGGGCCTGGCTTGGACAGCCCGTGGGCCCCCCGTTTCCTCCTAATGTGAAGGGGCCCTGGGACACGCAAACAAGTACACACACATACCAGGATTCCCCACATCTCCCCACATCTTCTGGGCTTCTGCCTTCTCCCCCATTTCCCGGATTTTCCCCAAATTTCTTGGGGATCGACGATCAATTGTGTCTGTGTGCTTTTACCCCTCCTGACTGATGCTCGTGCTGGTGGCCTACCGTTCCCTGGGGGCGGCGCGGACGAGCCTTGGCCGCCCGACGCGCAAAGGGATCCCAAGAGGGTCCGAAGGAGCAGGAGGGAAGAGGAGGGAGCAGGCAGGATCGAGGAGGGAGGAAGGGGGAGGAGGGAGGGTCACGGAAGAGGCTCGAGGAGGAGGGTCGAGGAGAAGGGAGGAGGATCGAGGGATTGAGGGACCGACCAGGAGAAGGAGGAGGAGGAGGAGGAGGCGGAGGAGGTGGCGGAGGAGGAGGAGGATCGAGGGATCGAGAAGGAGGGAAGGTCGAGGGATCGAAGAAACGCAGACGCGGACGCAGACGCGCGAGTCCGCCAGCCGGCGGGCCGGCAGGCCCCTCAGGGGCGGCGCGGGCGGGCCGAAACTCAGTCATAGGCATGTGAACTTCAAGAAGTCGCCTTCGAGGTTTGCCCAGAATTTGGAAGTTGTAGCACTCTGTAACCATGTGCCGGGTGTGCTCCCAACCATAAGTTGGGTGAAGCTGGGGGGTCTGAACTATTGGGGGGGGGCAGAATCAACTGCACTTGTGCACGACACTTGTGCCATCAAGTGGTTTTGGCGGCTAAACTTGAAAAATCAACTGGGTAAATCAACTCAAACTCTGAAACAACTTGTGACATCAACTAGAATCCGAGTCAACTTGTTAAAGCAACTTGTGAAATCAACTCGAATCCGAATCAACTTGTTGAAGTAACTTGTGAAATCAAGTTCTTGTAAATTCCTCTTGGTTTGCAACATTCCGAATCAAGTGGAACGTTGGGCCCGAATTCGAAAACACTCTTGCTAAGTATGTGTGTGGTTATTGCGATTGCTGTCGGCATCATCAGCGTATGATTTGCAATACCCATAATCGTCATTACCATCAGCAGTCAATGATCCTGCTCATCATCATTATGGTCCTCCTCCTCTTCCTCCTCCGCGTCCTCCTCCTTCTGCTGTTGCTCCTCCTCCTCTTTCGTTTCCTCCTCCTCCTCCTCACCCTCACCCTCCCCTCCTCGGGTTGCCTACGGCCTCGAGAGGAACCGACGGGTTGGGCGAGGCGTCGCCGTCGACTCGAGGCGCCTCCCCGCAGGACGCCAGAGGAGGAGAGGAGGAGGGGAGGAGGAGGAGGAGCAGGAGAGGAGGAGAAGAGGAGGAGCAGGAGGAGGACGAGGAGGGGGAGGAGAAGGAGGAGGAGGGAGGAGGAGGGACGAGGAGGAGGAGGAGGAGGAGGGGAGGAGGAGGAGGGGAGGAGGAGGAGGAGGGGGAGCAGGAGGAGTAAGTAATGTACTAAGTTGGGGGCCTCTTTGAAGCCTCTTGGGGGCCTCTTTGAGGCCTTGAGCCGGCCCTCGAGCGCTCTATGGTGCCTCTTTGAAGCCTCTTGGGGGCATCTTTGGGGCCTCCTAGGGGCCTCTTGGGGGCCTCTTGGGGACCTCTTGGGGGTCTAATTTACTATCTTTCTGGGTCGCCGCCTCCCGCTCTCTGACTGTCAGCCGCCAGAGAGCGCCCCTAGTACTGCTGCTGAGCACACCGTGCGACGCAAGAAAGGGAGAGAGAAAGTGAGGATGAGGATGAGGATAAGGAGAAGGGAGGAGGGGAGGAGGTTATAAATATCAGCAGTCTGGAGGCTGATCCAGAGCCCCGCCCGAACGGTACTGGCTTTGGTCTGGCATCCTCGTTCATCCTCTTCTTCTTCTTCCTCCTCCTCCTCCTCCTAGCCTCAACCTTGACATCATCATCATATGATGTGTCAGCCAGTACTTGCCAGCACAGCTGGCATCAAAACACAACTAAAATCACGCGCGCCTCGCGCGCTTGATGGAAGGCCTGCTGCCACCATCTGACTCGATCTCGCGCTTGGCCTCGGGCGCTGCTGGGCTGCCGGCCTTGTCGCCCGCGCTGGCCTTCTCGCCAGTGCTGGGCGCCGACAGCGATCCCGAGGCCGAGCGCTCGCTGACAGCGCCTGAGGCCTTCGCCTGGGGCGTGCTGCACGCGCTCGAGGCGGCCGCACTATGTGCAGGAAGGCTCGCGACCTCCTGCGAGAACGAGGCGGCGCCCTCCGAAGACTGGAGGGTTCCGAAGGGGTGTTTTGAGAGGGTGGTTTTCCAGAGAGCTCTCCAGGAGCTTGGGGACCCTGCCAAAATGGGGGGTGCGAAGCCTCTGGGGGCCCTGGGGGAGCCCTCCTGGAAAGCCCCCCTTCTCAAAACAACCCTTTGGAACCCTCCAGGACGACAAGGCGCGCAGCTCCTGCCACAGGCCCACCGGCACGTCCTTGTTCTTCTCGACGTTGTTGGCCGTCAAGAACTGCTTGGCCAGCATCGGGCCGTTCGGGCTGGTCCGCCACGAATCCAGGTTCTTGACGGCCTTGATCAGCACAATGACCTGGCTCGCCTTCGCCTTTAAGAGGCTTGCTGAGAAACGCTGCCGTACCCTGGACCCTCAAGTTACCGAAGATACCTGCGACATGGGATCCTCACGATTTTGATCTAACAGCCTCTGGACTCTTGAGTCCGATGTGCATCAAAATCGTGAGGATCCCAGGTCCCAAGTATCTTCACTCCTCTTCCTCCTGCTTCCCCTCCTCCTCCTCCTCCTCCTCCTCCTCCTCCTGTCCTCCCTTCCTCCCTCCTCCTCCTTCTCCTCCTCGTTCTCCTCCTCCTCCTCCTCCTCCTTCTCCTCCAGGCTGCGTTTCTCAGCAAGCCCCCTGCTGGGCCATGGTAGAAATCCCGATGGCGACGCTCGCACTCGTGACGTCGTGCTTGGACACGTCGGGGCTCAGCAAGAGCAGCTTCTGCGCCCTCGTCATGAGGCTGATGTCGCCGTGGATGGCGTTGTACGCCGTCGCTACCTCCGAGTAGCTCTTCAGCAGGACCTTCTCCGCGATCTTCTCGTTGAGCTTGCCGCTCGAGCTGTCAAAGCACGCGTTCATGTCGGGCGTCTTCGTCTTGCAGACCTCCGCGTCTTCTGACAAGACCTCCGCCATCATGTTGAGCAGCCTGTCCTGGCACTTGCCAGAGAACACCGACATCGCCGCAGACCACTGCCTCACATGGGATACCTCCAAATCCAGAGTACCAACCCATCCAGACCGCTCCAACTCGGCAATCTCGTCCGATAGTAGCATCTCGTCCATGCGAATGAGCATCCTCTGAAATATCGCCTGCACGAACACGAAGTGACCGAAGAGCGTCGTCTTGTTGGGACGATCCTTCTGGCCGTCGTCGTCGAAGAGGTTATGATGCAGTAGTGCTGCCGTCGCCCCCAAGTCCTTCACGACGACTGCCAGCTGCAGGTGGCTCAAAGCAATGGGCACTGGCATCTTAGTGTCTTGCCCATTCACCACATTCGGAAGCTCGATGCTCTTCATGCCGCTCGCCTCGATGAAGCTTGCCAGCTCCCGCAAGGCAATGGAGTGAAGCCTGCCGTCGATCGACAGCTGGTCCTTCTCGGCGCCGTCCTGGAAATCAATATCGATCGCCAACTCCTGAAAGGGCGGTCCATCCAGCACCAAGCGGGGCAGCGTCTTGTAGTCAGCAAGCTCTTGGACCAAGGAATCCCGAATACTGGCGACAGTGAACGATGGCACGGGCTCGATCTGCGCAATCTTCTTCGCGACGAACTCTTTGGCGCAGCCCATGTAGATCAGCTGTCCTGCGCAGGAAAGCGATCCAGAGACGACGCCCGTCGCCCACCCCCTCTCAAGACTCCCTGCACCTCGGACCCGAAAGGTTTCAAAATGCCTGGCGGGGGGGGGTTGAGGGGTGAGGCTAGGGAAGAGGCAGAGCGCCTCCTCCTCCTCCTCTTCCTCCTTCCTCCTCCTCCTCCTCCTCCTCCTCCTCCTCCTCCTCCCTTCTGCTCTAGCTCCTCCTCCTCCTCTTCCTCCGCCTGCTCCTCCTCCTCCTCCTCCTCCACATCCTCCTCCCCCTCTTCATCCTCCTGGGCGTTTCCCTGGAGTCGCTCTCCTGCAGTGTCCGAGAACTGCCTGAACTGACCGATCAGCTCGGTCACGATGTTCATCTTCGTCACGTTGCTGTTCACATCGAAGGCGAACTGCTCGCCCTCGAGATGACGAACCACGGCTGCGAATGAGATGATAGTGTCCGCGAACCTCTTGGCGTCCTCCTGATCATCGAGTAACTCACGCCCGAGAGACACGGCGAGCGAGACGTACTTCGTCACGTCCTGGAGTAGAGCGTGGGCGTGGCCGAGGCCCCTGATGAAGTTGTGACTGTCGAGGTGGTCCTTCGCGATGCTGCCGTCAGGCACATGAGACTCACCACGCTGAAGCAACTTGTGCAATACCGCCTGCAACCTGCTGTAGAAGTCGTCCAGCTGGCCGCCGAAGAGCTTCATCTGACTCATGGTGTCAGTGAGCTTGTCCTGAAATTTCTCCAGGCTGGACTTCACCGGTAGCTCAGGAAGCCTGACAGACTCCATGCCGTCCACGCTTTCCTCGCACTTCTCCAGCTCCACAGCTTCGGAATGTGCTGGGCCACCCTCTGCAGAAGCATCGCCCTCATTCTGCTTATCCTGCTTGTCCTTGCCCTCGATGGCCTTGTCCTTGCCCGCCTTCTCTGCAATGATGCCGTGCAGGATGGATGCCACCTTCTCAAGCTCATCGCCGACGTGAGCCTTGTAAGCGTGCACGAGCATGTACTTGCCGATGTCGAGGATCAAGCAGACATTGTTCAGAGCATCTGCCAGGTAGGACGCGTTGACCTGCAAGCCTGAGGTGGACCACTTCTCGACGGCTCCGAGGGCTGGCCCAAAGAAGGGGCTCAATTTCTCGAAGTACTCCTGGAGCGCGGTGTACCGCTCATCAGTGCACTCCGTCATGATGATGATCCACTCCTCGCCCTTCCCGTGATCGAAGAGGTCGGCAAAGTAGGACTCGAACTGGTCGTTCGCAGTCATCAGCGCGGACGTGGCTGTTTCATCGCCTACGCTCGCCAAGACGTGCAGCCTGGACGCCTCCATCAACTCCTTCACTACAGGGTACGACATCATGATCCGAGCGATCTGCTGGGATGCTGGAGGGTTCCGAAGGGGGTGGTTGGGGAGGGGGGTGTCCAGAGAGCCCTCCAGGAGCTTCGCAACTTTGTCAAAATAGGTGTTGCGAAGCCCCTGGGGGGAGCCCTCCTGGAAAATCCCCTCCTCAAAAACCTTTTTGGGAACCTCCAGGGATGGGCTCTCCTCCGAAGGCCGACTCCTCACCTGCTCGATGATTGCCTTCCTTGCAACCCTCACCTGGATTGTCGTTGGCCTCCGCGACTCGGAATGATCGCTGCACTGTGCGATGGTCACAATGGCCTTGAGCACCTGTATTGTCAAATGCCTCCACCTCGCTCCCCCCCCCCTCCATGTTCATCTTGCCCCCTTGGGTGCTGCGAGGGCAATCGACGAAAACCGAAAACATGTTGGGGGAGGATGGGATCGGACTGATGTGATTTGGGCACTAATGCGTGCCTCTCCCCCCCCCTCTCCCCTCCCCTCCTAGTGCGCCCCCCTGGCTAGATGAACATGGAGAATGGCAGGGTGGATGAATTTGACAACACCTAACCTCAGCGTAGCTGGAAATCGCATCGAGGTCAACGCGCTCAAGGTCGATCCGCTTCTTCTCGAACTCGACAGACATGCTGCACACGTCCTCCAAGAAACTGCGAAACAATCCCACCTCGCCGTGAACGGTGTTCGGCTGCGATTTGACGTACGTGCGGAAGCCTTCCGAGACCATGGTCGTGAAGTAGTGCGCAGACGACGCGTCCCCAGCTTTGCTGGTCAAGTCGCTCTGTTTTGTCCGCCTGTGGCGTGCTTTCTTGGCTGCAGGTCCTGTAGGTTGCGTGCCATCGTCACCCTCCTCCATCTCCTCCTTGACATTGGCATCAGCGGGAGCAGCAGCTTCGTCGATTGCTCCTGCAGCTGCAGCCTCGCCGCCCTCGCCACGCAGCTCCTCCATGATATCGAAGATCTGCACGTCGAAGTTCGCGATGGCATTCGAGACTGACATCTTCTTCTCTAGCATGCCCTGGAAGAGACCGTACGAGAGGGTGACAGTCAGGTCACGAGCAAGAGGGAGCTCCCTCACGATGAGGTGGCTCAGAAGCGTCGAGAAAGGCTTGAGCGTCGCCGTCAGCGTGGCGTCAGCATGGCTCTCGAGCCACTTCTTCATGGCAGCGTACAGCGTCACCAGGGCGTCCACTCTGGCCTCCAACTGCAGGAAGGTCAGCTGGACCTCGAAGCTGGCCTTCCCCATGATGCTGTCACGGTGCTGGACCAGCCTGCGCCTCAGCGCTTGGACCGTGGCCAACTTGAATGTCGCAAACCAGTTTGGCTCTGATACTTTGTCCGCGTAGGAGCTGATTGTCTGGCGGATCTTGTGCAAACTTGCGAAGCAACTTCCAGACGGCAGCGGTTCCGCGTAGTTCATCTCGTGGAGTTCCTGGCCCTCGATGTTGATTTCTCCCGAATGGGGTGCATCAGGATCCACATCGAGAAGCTCGCGGTCATCAGCTCCAGTCCCGACTGCGTCCGTCATCACCCGAGACCGAGGGACAACCGGTGGAGCGTAGTTTGTGTGCGTGTACATGGCGCCCAAGCGGATCCCGAGATCGACCGCTTTCTCGGCGAACACGTTTCTTGGCTCCGAAGCGTCTGCACCGGTACTGGTGGCTGCTGCGGCCGCCGCGGCGCCTCCCGAAGTACCATTCTCCTCATCCTTCTTCGGCGTGTCAACACGGTCCAGGCTGCCGCCTGCGGTGTTGTAGTTGTCATTGTCCGCCTGGCTCTTGACTTCCGTCGACCCTGGTGCCATTGCTGCCGATGCTGATGCGGCTGAGGGCTCCAACACGCCGAGCCGCCACCTGGTGGCTGACGAAGACGGCGGCGAGTCCTCGACCTCGAAGCACGAGTCGAGTGAAGCAAGCAGGATGTCGTCGCCACCGCTGTTCATAGTCATAGCTTCGTTCATGATCTGCGTGTTTACTTCGTCCTGCCTGCTGCTGCTGACCATGTAGTCGTGGTGGTGGCCGTGAAGAAAAGGGCGAGCTCCAGCAGGTGCTGACCTGCTGCTCGCTCTAGCGACTGTCGCCTCGGGAAGGCTTGCGCTGAAACTGAACAAAATAGCTATGGAGAGCAAGCCAACAAGACAATACCCCAAATCAATCAATCGATCAATCAACCACTCCAGCATTACCTCGAGGAAAGGGGTGCCTGCGTGAGAGAGTTTCTTGGGCCGCCTCGGGTCTCGGGCCGCCAGACATCCGAAGTCAGAAGCTCAAGGCACAGAGACGAGAGGACCTCCGAAACCAAAAACATTGATTGAACCGGACATTTCTTAGTATTGGTTTTTCCCTTTACATAGGCTCTGCCTAGAAGAGTTCTTACTCTCTTAGCTTAAAGGGCCGGGCAGTGGAAATCGCCCCAGGCGGTTCCCCCAGTCCCCGCCGAGCGGTTCCCCCAGTCCCCTGAGAGCTTTAGCTTTAGCTTCAGCTTCAGCTTTAGCTTAGCTGTAGCTTAAGCTTCAGCTTAGCTTTAGCTTAGCTTTAGCTTAGCTTTAGCTTAGCTTTAGCTTAGCTTAGCTTCAGCTTAGCTTCAGCTTAGCTTTAGCTTGGCTTTAGCTTAGCGGCACCTCAGCTTGAGCTTAGCTTTAGCTTTAGTTTTAGCTTAGCTTTAGCTTAGCTTCAGCCTAGCTTAAGCTTAGCTTCAGCTTAGCTTCTGCTTAGCTTTAGCTTAGCTTTAGCTTAGCTGTAACCTTAGCTGTACCTTAGCTTTAGCTTAGCTTTAGCTTAGCTTTAGCTTGGCTTTAGCTTAGTTGCACCTTAGCTTCAGCTTAGCTTTAGCTTAGCTTTAGCTTAGTTTTAGCTTAGCTTTAGCTTAGCCTTTACCGTAGCTTTAGCTGCGCTTAGCTTTAACTTAGCTGTAGCTTAGCATGTACCGTAGCTTTAGCTTAGCTTTAGCTTGGCTTTAGCTTATCTGTACCTTAGTTTTAGCTCTGGTTTAGCTTAGCGGTAGCTTAGCCTTAGCTTAGCATCCGCTTAGTTTTAGCTTAGCTTTAGCTTAGCTTTAGCTTAGCTTCATCTTGGCTTTAGCTTATCTTGAGCTTAGCTTAGCTTAGCTGTAGTTTAGCTTTAGCTTAGCTTTAGTTTAGTTTTAACTTAGCTTTAGCTTAGCTTTAGCTTTACTGTTCGTACTAATGCTGCTTTCCTAGGGGCTCCAACTCCTATGTCGGGTCGCACTGGGATAAGTTTGACTGGGCCGTCTGAGCATTGTCGGGCCGAGCAGAGCCAGAGAATGATCGAGGTCCGACTGGGAAGCGGCAGAAAGACATGACTTCAGGACTTGGGAATTGGAATGTTGAGAAGCGGAGCGGGGAGCGGGGTGTGAGACGAGTGGTAGCGGAAGGGGAGAGCGTAGCATGGGAGTGGGGTTGAGTGGATGGAGTGGGAGACGAAAGGGAGAATGGAGATGGAGAGTGGAGTGGAATGGAGTGGGGTGGAGGGTAGCGGCAGGGAGTGGAGTGGGAGACGGAAGGGTGAGCGTGGACCCCAACGAACAGTGTCCAGGGAGTCCTCCAATTTCCTACATCACCCCCCCCACCGTAGGATACCTCGGCGTGTGAAACCCACCGCAAATAGCCTGGCAGCCCGGTGTCGGTTAACCTACGTACATATACCGTAGAACCTAAAACAAACAAGCAGCAAGCAACAGCAATAGTTGTATAAGTTGTATATTGAAGGAGGAGGAGGCAGCAGGAGGAGGGAGGATAACGAGGATTAGGATGATGATGATGATGATTCCAATGATGATGAGGAGGAGGAGGAGAAGCATGAGGAGGAGGAGGATGAGGAGGAGGCGGAGAGAAGGAGAAGGAGGAGGAGATGGGGAGGAGTACGAGGGATATGTGGAGGAGGAGGAGGATGCGGAGGAGGAGGAGGAGAAAGAGGAGGAGGGGGAGGAGGAGGAGGAGGAGGAGGAAGAGGAGGGATAGGAGGGAATGGGGCTGTGGAAGCGCGCTGGCAACACCAAGTTAAACGTTAAACAGCAGTGCGGCACTAGCAAAGCAGGCAGGCATAGCACCCATACTTGCAAGCTGTGCAGGATACAACTGTTGTCGTAAATTCATGTGCGTACTATGATACGTGTTTAGCGAAGCAAGCGCGCATGCATTGGACAGTGGTTTGGCCGCAAATCAAACGCAGGAGGCGCCATTGAAAACCACAAATGGCAAATGGGTGATTTTCAAACAAAAGATATAAACGAGAACCTCAAACAGAAAAACAACGATACTGAGAGACAGAGAGAGAGAGAGAGAGAGAGAAAAAGCAGAGAGAGAGAGCAGAGAGAGAAAGAGAGAGAGAGAGAGAGAGAGAGATAGAGCAGAGAGAGAGAGAGAGAGCAGAGAAAGACAATACAACTTAAAGTGGTGCTGGTGTGAAATGCATGCGTTCGCATGGGTTTCGGCAGCGACCGTTAACGCGCACGCGCAGCGTCAGCGTCGGTGTTTTCACGTTTTCACCATTAGGTTTTGGAGTTCAACATCGTTCCTACACTTATCAGCGGCGCGCAGCCGCCGTTTGCGCGCGCGCGCGTACGCGCGCGCGCGCGTACGCGCTCGCGCGTTGGGGAGTTCTGTGTTCTTTACAATAGAAGAGCCGACATGTAATCCCAAAAACTAAATTGAAAATTTCTGGGGCCCTTTAAGGAGGCCGACGGGACGTGTCGGCCTTTCTATCGTGGACAATACAGAGCGCCGATGCGCGCGCGCGCTGGCGCTTTGCATGTGTATCTCGCAAGCGGTTCGTCGACGAGCGCGATGTGAGTTGGCCGCGCGCGCGCCGGAATGGGCTGGTGAGTGAGCGGACAGGTGCGCGCGCGCGCATCGGCCGCATCGGCGTTCTGTATTGTCCACAATAGAAAAGCAAACGCTTCCCGTCGGCCTCCTTAAAGGGCCCCAGAAATTTTCAATTTAGTTTTTGGAATTACATGTCGGCTGTTTTTTTGGTGGACACAGAACTCCTCAACGCGGGCGCGTACGTGCGCGCGCGCAAGCGGCGGCTGCGCGTCGCTGATATATTGTTTACACAATGCGGCGCGATGATGAACTACAAAGCCACATTGTGAAAACGGAATGAAAAAAATATTCTTTGATGGGAAGACGCGATCATCCTACCATCCTAATGGGTATCTGATGACACACATGCGAAGCGTCAACGCGCGCGCGCGCGCGCATCGGTGTTCTGTATTGTCCGCAATAGAAAAGCGGACACTTCCCTTCGGCCTCCTTAAAGAGCCCCAGAAATTTTCCATTTAGTTTTTGGAATAGCATCTCGGCTTTTCTATTGTAGGCAATACAAAACTCCTCAACGCGCGCGCGTATGCGCGCGAGCGCGCAACGCGCGCGCACGCCTCCTCCTCCTCCTCCTCCTCCTCCTCCTCCTCCTCCTCCTCCTCCTCCCCCTCCTCCAACCGCGCAAACCATCGCGCCAACCACAAGCGCGCAAGCACGCGCGCGCACCACGCGCACACGAAACACGAAACGCGCACGCGCACGCAAGTGACTCGCCTCTTCGCGCAAGCACATGCTCGCGCAGATGCCGCTCCACGCCGCGGTGCCAGCGCCCCTGTCGTCCATGACAATGTGGGCCGAATGGGGCCACCCTTGGTCGGCCAAGGGATCCCATGTGGCCGCGACGACTGCTCGGGCGTGGCTGCGCGACCGCCAGCAGCGCCCAACGACCTGCGGCTGTTCTCCGCGGCGCGCCCTCTCTGGTCGCGGAGCCGGCGCGATGTCCGATTGCGGCGCGCTGTCTTTCAGCGCCAGCGATGCGGCCACTGCGAATGCCAGTGTAGGCGGCCCCGCAAGCTCCCCGAACGCCCAGCATGGCAACTGCCTTGCAGACGGAAGCAGGTTGCAACTTGCAGCTGCGCACCGAACGCTTCGGAGGACAAGGTGCTTTGTCCGAGCCGAACGCGGCCCCACTGCTAACTGGCTTCGACTTATCATTCGGTAGGTTGACGCAGATGGGCTCATTCACGCCGACGGCTTGGCTGGCCGCGTCGGGGCAGCCATCCGCGATGGCGCCCCATCCAGCTTGGCCTGCGTAATCCAATAAGCCAGGGGCCAGGGCCCAGGCTCGATGGAGTTTCCTGCTGGGTAGGCACCCTGCCGCGCAAGTCGGCCCAGTGGCGACGGCTCCGGCTAGACCGGCGCACCAGTGAAGCATCCCGAAGTCCCCGAGCAAGGGGGCCACGGGATAGCAACGTGTCCGAAGACTGATGGGCGCCTGTCGCCGAAAAGCGCACACGCCCCTTCGTTTGGCCGTTGCGATGGGGGGGCCACCAATGCATCTCTTCGGCGGTAGCGACGCAGCGCCTTCGGCGTCGAGGCCCAGCAGCCTCGAGAGCGATTCAATCGCGGCGACCGTGCCGCGGTAGAGCGCGGCGAGATCTGCGGATTGACGGTCCACCGCGTCGAAGGGGCGTCGCCATGCTTCCGCGCGCGCCGCGCCGCTTTCCTGTGCTCGCCAGGGCCTCCTTGGTCTCCTGAGCCCCGTGGCCCGCAAGGCTGGTTGCGTCAGTCAGCCGAGCGCCTCCTGCAGAATGATTCAGAATGATCATCTGCTGGATAGGCGCTGGTGACCTGCCCGCGAACCGCCTGCATCTCCCCAGCGGCCGCGCGCTTTGTTGGGGGGCCATGCATGTGGCATGTGACATTTAATTAACGTTTTTGCGAAATGAACGGGGCTGAGCCGGAGGGGCCCGCGGCGAGGACGACGGTTTGAACCTCTTGTCAGGGTTCACAGCGCCGAGCTGGCGCCCAGCCGCATCCGCGACCAGCGCAACCCAGGCCGCTGCCTCGCTGGAAAGCGGGGCCCGCGCAAGGCCCGCAAGGCCCGCGCCTGGCCGCGCGGCCTGGGCTCCACGGCTCCATGGCCTTGCTGCGCCCAGCTGCCGGTTGGTGCGCCGCGCCCACCGGTTCCCGCGAAAAAAACGCAAACACATAAAATGCATGACGCATAACAAATCGCAGACGCGACGGCGCACCCCCCTCCTCCTCGCCGCCAGCCACGCCCACCCCCCCCCTCCAGGCGCACCAGGGGCCGACCGCGAAGCGACGACGACGACGACGGTTACGACGAAGGCGACGGCTGCGGCGACGACAGACGTTCCCTCCCCCTCTTCCTCCTCCTCCTCCTCCTCCTCCTCCTCCTCCTCCTCCTCCTCCCCCTCCTCCTCCTCCTCCTCCTCCTCTTCCCCCTCCTTCTCTCCCTCCTCCCCCCCCCCCCCCCCCTCCCCCCCCTCCCCCCCCCTCCTCCTCGTCCTCCTGGAGCCTCCTCCTGCTCCTCCTCTTCCTCCTCCGCCTCCTCCTCCTCCTCCTCCTCCCTCCTCCTCCTCCTCCTCCTCCTCCTCCTCCTCCTCTTCCCCTTCCTCCTCCTCCTCCCCCTCCTCCCCCTCCTCCCCCTCCGCATCCGAGAGCGCCGCCTCCTCCTCCTTCTCCCTCCTCCTCTCTCCTCCTCCGCCTTCTTCCCTTCTCTCTTCTCCCCTTCCTCTTCCCCCCCCTTCTTTTCCCTTTTTCTCATTATTCCTCTAACCTTTAATACTCATGAACTTCCTCCCTCCCCCCGTCTGCTTTCTTTTCCCCCGCCCAGGGTTCGCTCCCGCCGCGCCCCGCCCCCCCCTCCTCCTCGCCCTCCTCGCCGCCCTTCGCCCCCATATTTTTCTCTCTCTTTCACTCCCTACTCCCCCTCCTGTTTCTTCTCCACCACCACCTCCTTATCATATTTTCTCTTTATATGTTTATATGTGGTCTCACTGTCTCACCACTCTCCTCTCTCTCTCTCTCTCTCTCTCTCTCTCTCTTCTTTCTCTCTCTCTCTCTCTCTTTCTCTCTTTCTTTTTTTTTTCCTCTCTCTCTCTCTCTCTCCCTCTGTTATACATGTATATATATACACACATACCTCCGTTTCCTCTTCCCGTATCTCTCCTCCCTTTCCCGCCTCCGTTTCTTCCCCCTTCTCCTCCTCCCCGGCGCCTTCCCCCCCCATTCTTCCTCCTCCTCCTTCTCCTGCTCAATCACGCGCCCCTCCTTCCCACGCCCCCTCATTCCCCTCTCTATAACATATGCAGATCTATACGTCTATAACTAGATTTATCTGCTTGGTTGCTCTGTATTTCTTTCGTTGTTTCTCTCTCTCTCTCTCTTTCTCCGATCTCTAAGACTACTCTAAGAGTCTCTCTGTATCTGTCCATATCTCTCTCTCTCTCTCTCTCCTTTTCTCTCTCTCTCTCTCTCTCTCTTTCCTTCTCTCTTTTTTTGTCTCTCTCTCTCTCTCTCTCTCTCTTTCTCTCTCTCTCTCTCTCTCTCTCTCTCTCTCTCTCTCTCTCTCTCTCTCTCTCTTTCTTCTCTCTTTTTGTCTTCTCTCTCTCTCTCTCTCTCTCTCTCTACTCTCCTTTTCTCTCCTCTCTCTCTCTCTCTCTCTCTCTCTCTCTCTCTCTCTCTCTCTCTCTCTCCTCTCTCTCTCTTCTCTCTCTCTCTCTCTCTCTCTCTCTCTCTCTCTCTCTTTTGCCTCCCCCCCCCCCCCCCACGCGCACACCTTTCTCGGCGCCATTCCTAGTTTCTTCACACCCGCCCTCATTTGAGCCACCTTCCTCTCTTTACCCGTCTCCATTTCCATATCAGTTAGCGCCGCTAAGTTAGCGCCTCTCCCTTTCCGCCGTCGCACCGACTGTCGTAAATCAGGAGTCATGGCCCGCTGCGCTCTTAACTCTTAAAATGGGTTGGTGTTGCTTCGTTTCCCACCCGCCGCGTCGTTGTTCTCTTTGACGTTTCTCGTCGCTCTCGCGAGCGTTCTTCTTCTGGCAGCATCCACTCGCGCGGGCGCGCATGCGAAGTCAGAAGACCTGGAGCTCATGGCCGAGGCAATGGCGAACGCTTACAAGGACAGCTCCCGCTGGCAGAAGCCGAAGAAGAGGAAAAAAGCTCGGCGACGAGTCTTCGGTCTTCGGATGACGACGAAGCTACAGTAAGTCGTCGTCTGGCGACGGCAGATCCAGCGACAGGAAGAAGAAGGCCGCCAAGGAGTCTGAGAAGCACGGCAAGAAGGGCAAGACGATGCGGAGCGCGCCCTCCAGCTCGGGAGGTCGCAAGGAGAAGGCGAATACTAACAACAGAAGGAAGCGCCAGCGTTCTCCCCCCCCTTCTCCCACTTTTGCTGCGCGCGCGACGCGTGTGTCTGCAATTCTTTCTTGCTCTCTCGAACCTGCGCCCCTGCCCCCGCTGCGCCTCCCCCCCGTGTTCTTGCCGCGAACTCGCGCGCTCGAAGAAACCGGCGCTGGCGAGCGCGCTGCGTCGTCTGCAAGGCGGCACGGGCATGCAACTGCAACCGCTCGCAAATCCTGATAAAACGCGCCGCGGCGCCGATTTCGACCGACGGGCCATCGCGCGAACGCCCCGAAACAACGTGGCCACTCGTGAGTTTAGATAAGCTGCGAGAGGCCGCAAACAAAGTTCATCGCGCGCCGCGCAATCGAGCGTCCGATGAGCGTCCGGCGCTTCTTTTTCCAAGCGCGCCCGCTCGGCCGCTGCGCGCGGCGCTGCGACCACGCGGCTGCTTTTTCTGAAGGCCAGGCGCGCGCGCTGGCCATGCGAAATAGACGCGAATCCATTCGTCGACCGTCTTCCTCGCCCTGCGAAGCCGCGCCGCCGAAGTGGCCCTGCGCCGACGTCGATGTCCAGCGATATTTGTCGACGACAAATGCGAGCGGCGTCGACGACAATGTCCCTTTGTTTCTCCAGCGGCGCAGCGTGCGTTCATAAACCAAGCGCGGCCAGGCGCTGCTCCGACTTCGGCGAGAAGCGCGAGCTGCGCGCACCTCGCGCGCTTCGGAGACGCGGGGCCGAGCCTCGGGAATGAAGCCGCGCGCGCCAGCGCACTCCTGTGCACATACTCCACCCATGCGGAGCCACTCCTAGGGAGTAACCCCGACTTCACGGCGCAACGGGGCTCGGAAATTCCGATCCGCCACAATGCGTCGACTCGACTCGCCCACTCGACTCGACTCGCCAACTCGACTCGACTCGCCGACTCGACTCGCCAACTCGATTCGATTTTTGATCCGACTCGACTCGACTCGCCGACTCGACTCGCCAACTCGACTCGATGTCTGACTCGGCTCGACTCGCCAACTCGACTCGTCTCGCCGAATCGATTGGGATCGTGACGAAAAACAGGGCCAGTCAACTCGAGAACTCGACTCGAATCGCGACGAGGCGCGCGGAATCAACGCGCACGTTTGACTCGGCTCGGCTCGTCAACTCGACTCGCCCACTCGACTCGACTCGCCAGCTCGACTCGATTCCCGACTCGACTCGCCCATTCGACTCGACCCCCCAAGTCGACTCGGATCTCGACTCGGCTCAACTCGATGACTCGACTCGACTCGCCAACTCGACTCGGCCCCGAAAGCCGCGTCGACTGGGACAACTGCAGTAAAGCTTCTGAAGCGTCGCGAAGAGCGCGAATCAACTCGGCCCCCGCGGCGCAGTTTGCCCGACGCACGTTCGCCTCGCCGATGGGTTCGGGCCTCGCGTCGGGGGGCTCGCGCTCGCGCGATCCGCGTTGCATCGCTGAGAGCGGTCGCGCAGATAGCTGAAACGACGCAGCCCCAGGGCCTCTCGATTATCCGACCGCGCATCCCAGCGGGAGACGAGACGCCCTGAACGCTTTGCTCGGGTGCCACCAGCGCCCGCGAAGGTCGCGCCGCCGCAGTCCGCCGCTTTCGTCCGCCCGCCACTTCGCTCCCCCCCCCCCCGTCCACCCGCGCTCTTCCCCCTTCCCCTCCATCTCCCCCACCCCGCCCCCGCCGCAGCCGCCCCGCCACCGCTGCCGCCCGCCCGCCCACCTGTCCCGCGCGCGCCCAACCCCCTGCCGCAGTCCCCCAACCCGCCCCCATCCCCCCTCTTCCTCCTGCCTACTGCCGCCGCCACCAGAGCCGCCGCCGCCTCCCCCACGTCGTTCCGCCCTCATCGCCCCAAACCAAAACCTTGCCCCCCCCCCCCCCCCGCTCCCCCCCCACCCCCTTCCCCCCCCTCCCCGCGCACGCGCCCCAAACCCAACCCATTCCACCTCGCCGCGCCACCGCCCCAACACGCGCGCGCACGCGCGCACGCGCTCGCCCGCGCGCACCACGACCGCCCGCGGCGCTGACCCGCCCTCTTACCGACTTACCGTTTTACCAAGAAGTTCTACCGCGCACCTATGACCATGACGCGCGCACGCGCCGTCTCTTTACTCTTCACCGTGCGCGCGCGCCACCCGCGCCGTGGACCATCGCCACCTGCAGCCGCGCGCGCATCACCCGCGCCCGCCCTGATTACTCTTCCACCCGCTCCCACTTGCCGACCTAACACCTCACCCCATCGCTCGCGACGCCTGCGCCGCTGCCGCAAATCGCGGATGCAATGTTGGCGACCGAGCACCTTGATGCGCCGCGGCCATCTTTCAACGAGCGGCGCCGCCCCCAGTCGACACCCCCCCCGCATCCCCCACCCCTCCCGCCCTGACCGCGCCGTTGTCGGCCAATAGTCGGGCTTCGCGGTTCGCGCGAGCAATGCATCGAGGTCGCCGTCGGCGATGGGTTCCGGTGTCGAGAAGATCAGCTCCCCCAGCGGCTGGTCGAACAGCGAATCCCATTCGTCCGCAGCCATGGCGTCGGGCCGCTACGCCACGACGGGGAGCGCCCGATCGTCCTTCGGCTTGACGCACGAGCTGCGCCGATGGCGAACGATGAAGAGCCGAATTGCGGCGTTCGCGCCGAGGCTCAGTGCTCAGTGCGTCCCCAATGCCAAACTGCAAATTGCCATCGCCGAAGCGCCGCGAAAAAGCAGTTCTCGTCGCTGCAGCGCCACAAGCCCGTGCTGGCCCGCGCTGCCTTTGATGTCCGAGGCAGGTGGGCGTCTATGACTGGGGTGGCCTGGATCCGGCAGCCCGTGGATGTCGAAGATCTGGAGTCGTTCTGCGACCTCGCGTAGCGCGGGCCACATCCCTGACCGAGGGTGAACGAGCGCGGCCGCGGAGTCCACCAAGCGGTCGCCGTCGGCGGCGCGGCGCCCTGGCAATGAATGGCCAGGGCGAAAAGCGGGGCGCGCAAATGCTGTGGAAATTCGACTGCGTCCCCGTGCTTCTGGCGGTCGAGCGACTGGACGTACGCCGTCCCGAAAGCACGGGCGCCCAGATCGTCGATGCCGATGCCCGACGCCGGACGTCGCCCAAGCCGTCGTTCATGTCGTCCATCGATGCGTCGCCCAATGCCGTCCCTCACCGCCACTACCACCACTACCACGGCCAGCCCCCATCACCGCCACCGCCGTGACACCTCACTCCTTCCAACCCACCGTCACCGCCGCCGCCGTCGCAACGACCACCGCCGAGATATGCAACAATGCTGCCCACCAGCGCACAACCTTGCTGAACACCATAATGAACCCCAACCGCTGGAATCACAAGAGCAATTCCGCCCCCACTGCTACGACCTACGACATTGTTGCTACTGCTACTGCTGCTATGCTAATGCTACTATGTCTTCTGTTTGTATTGCTGCCGATCCCATTAAACACCGGAAACCCGCACAGCGCGAACGGCGGAAACGCGCCATCGTGGCGCGCGCGGGCACGCGAACGAGGTAACAAGCGCAGCGCCGGCGAAATGCGCAACTTTTATCCCTTATCCGCCCACCCATCCACTTCATTAGTGACACCAGTGCGGCCCCCTGCCATGATTGCACCTCCCGCTCACCAGCCCCTCTCCCGCGCTGCGTGTTTATTGTTTACGCGCCCGATGTTTTTGTCGTTTCCTTCCCAACCAAAATTCCAAGACGCCAGACGCTCGCCAGGAAAACCCCGAAAGGGAAGAGGGAGGCGGAGGAGGCGGGAGGAGGAGCGGAGCGGGTGGGAGGAGGGGGTGGGATGAGGGAGGAGGAGGAGGAGGGAGGAGAAGGAGGAGGAGGAGGGAGGAAGAGGAGAAGAAGGAGGAGGGGCAGGAGGAGGAGAGGAGGAGGGGGGAGGAGGGGGGAGGAGGGAAAAAGGGGGAGGAGGGGGAAGGAGTGAGGAGGAGGAGGGGGAAGGATGAGGAGGAGGAGGAGGGAAGAGGGGGGAGGAGGAGACCCGAACTCTGGAGGTGGCGGCGGTGTTTCGCCGCAGGCGTCTTCAAGTGCCCACGGAAACAGAACGGCATGAGTGAGCAATGGCAGGGCAGCAAGGCAGCACGCAACATGCTACATTTTATATCCATCAGGGCGCTTTTAGTCACATTGTAATTTGTCGTGTGTGTGTGTGCGTTTATCATCCACCTAGGCCTACAGTCTGTACCCTGAGGACGAAGTCAGCACATCAGGTGATAATCAGTCCCGGTGCCCCCCTCGGATTTGATCGTTGTTGAAAGATGGCATGCGTCTCGGAAGTAGGAGGACTCCCCAGTGCTTCACGTATTATATTGTAAACTCTATATGTCTATATGCCCGCAATCGTTGAAGTGCTTTTGTCATGCTTGGTTTGTTGATGGATGTATGGTTGTGGAGTTCTGCTGCAATGCTGTATCATTGTTTGTTTGAAAGTTTGCGTAACGTATACCATGTATACCGTACACAATACAACGATTGCCGCAAACACTGTTTGGGGAGTTGTACAAAGAGGGCGAATGAAGAACAAGTGCGTGGGAGAGTGGGAAGGATGAGGATGTAGGGTGGGTGTGGAAGGGAAGGAGGAGAGGAGAGTAGTAAGTAGTAAAGCAAGTAAGGAAGAGGAGGGGAAAGGAGTAGGATGGGGGAGGGGAGGAAGAGGAGGGGAAGGGGATGAGGAAAGGTGGGAAGAGGAGGGGGAGGAGGAGGAGGAGGAGGAGGAGGAGGAGGAGGAGGAGGAGGAG